ACTTGAGAATGATGATGGTTTGGCTGAACTTGCAGAGGGGCTTTCACTTTGAACTGCATAAGTCACACAATCCTTCAGCCTTGTAGAAACTTTCTTGGAGCGAAGTCCACGTCCAAGTGTTGTCACACCTTCTACTGTCTCTACGTTCTCCATTCGATCAATTGCTGTACCTCCCTCCCTTACGTCGGCATTGTCATTCTGCACACAATCTAAATGCTCATGGGTTTCACGAACATGATTAGGCCGCTCCTTTGCCTTGTCTCTTGTCTGACCACTGACCTCTTCTTCAAGGTAATCATCTATTTGAGATGGGATTGAATTATGCTTACAAGTTTGAACATGATCAGGTGCGTGGTCAGCTGCAAATGGAAACTCATCTTCACAAAAGACAACATCCCGAGACACAAAATACTTTCTTGTTTCTAAATCATACAACCACCAACCTTTCTATCCAAACGGATAACCCACAAAGATACATTTATGGCTTCGAGGAGAAAATTTATCCTTCTCACGATTCAAGTTCTTTGCATAACACAAGCAACCAAATGTACGAATTGACCGATAATTAGGCAAATGACCATACAACATTTCATAAGGTGTTTTTCCTCCTAGTAATTGAGAAAGGGTACGATTAATCAAATAGCCAGTAGTTAACACACATTCTCCCCAAAATCTGATTGGTAAGTTGGCCTGAAATCGCAAGGCTCTAGCCACATTCAGTATATGTCGATGCTTTCTTTCCACTCGTCCATTCTATTGGGGCGTTCCCACACATGAAGTTTGATGTATTATCCCTTTGTCAGAAAAATATCCCTTCAAACTGATGAACTCACTGCCATTATCACTTCTAACTATCTTAACATTCTTATCAAATTGTCGATGAACCATAGCAACAAAATTTGGCAAAATATTTCCAACTTCAGTTTTATCTATCATCAAATATATCCACACACATCTCGAAAAATCATCAACAATCGTAAGAAAATAAGATGCATTACAAGAACTAGAGACTCGATATGGTCCCCACAAGTCACAATGAATCAATCCAAATGTTTCACTAGCTCTACTATCACTAGAACAAAATATTTCTCTCGTTTGCTTAGCTTTAAAACAAGCATCACAAGTTTTATTTGAACCAAATTGAATCTTAATTCCAGAAATTAAACCTACGACCTTTGAAGACGGGTGCCCCATTCTGCGATGCCAAAGATCACACGAATCCAACATCTGAGTTTGAAGTGCTTGGACTGGCGTCTCCTTCTTGAAGTAATAAAGCCCCTTGCATCGTTCACCCGCTCCAATCACCATCCTCGAAGTGCGGTCCTGTATCAAACAAAGTTTATCAGTAAACAACACATTACATTTTGAGTCATCAACCAGTTGTGATACTGAGATTAAATTGCAATGTAATCCTGGAGCATGAAGAACATTGTCTAATTGAATATTTTGTCCCATCCGAATCGATCCTTTTTGCAATGCCAGCACCTGTTCTCCATTAGGCAAGCCAATAGGACAACCTAATATCTGGTTCAAGCTAGATAGACAGCTCGAATTTCCTGTCATATGCTGTGTAGCACCAGAATCAATTATCCAGATAAAGTTTTCCTTACCAGTCATCTTCTCATTACTCCCTGATTCTGAGTTGCAAGCGTTCAATAGACTTATAACTGCTGCCCATTGTTCATTTGTCAGTCTTTAGGAGAAGCAAAATCCTCTGTTGCAGCAGTGGATTCTTCAATTACTTGAGCTGCATTAACTCGTGCCCCATTTCGTCCTCTTCCTGACATCTTGCCACGTCCTCTTCCTCCAATCTGTCTTCCTCGACCCGAACCAGACATTTTAGGTCGATCACCCCACCAATCGGGATATCCAATCAGCTGAAAACATCCCTCAGCATCATGCCCTTCGCGATTGCAATATTTACAAATGGCACTTCTATCCTTGATTCCTGCTTTGGCCTGAACCACAAAGCTAGCCGCTTCGTTGTTGATCTCTTTTTCCTTGGAAATATTTCGAACCCTTTCTTCTTGTCACATCAAGGAATACGCCTTGCTTACACTAGGCAATGGAGTGGTGCTCAAAATGTTTGATCTCACTGTTCTATATGCGTCGTCTAACCCCATCAGAAATTGATGAAGTTTTTCTTCTTCTCGTTTCTTTGTTATTTCAGTTGCTACATTACACGTACAACCCCCACACTTGCATGTAGAGATCGCATCATAATTCTCCAATTCTTCCCACAATCGCTTCAATTTAGCATAGTAACTCATAAGGGAGAGTCCTTGCTGTTTGCAATTTGCCAATTTTGTCTTCAGTTGCTGCACTCGTGCACCATCAGTCACTGAGAAACATTCTTTAATGTCTTCCCACAAATTCTTTGCAATCTCCCTGTGTGTCAAAGTAGATCACACCATCGGCTCAATTGTGTTCATCATCCACGATATGAGCATGGAATTCACTGTCCACCAGTCTTCTAATTCATCAGAATCTTCATCCGGCTGTACTATGGTTCCATCAATGAATCCGAATTTCTTCTTGGCTCTGAGAGCAGTCCGGATTGCTCTAGCCCATTCATCATAATTATCCTCTTTTAATTGTACCTGGGTGACTATATTTCCAGGATTATCATTGGCATACAAGGTGTATGGCGACACTATTTTCTTTCCATCTCCTTCCATGTTTTTTTTTCAGTTGACAGAGATTGCAGAGGATGCTCTGATACCATGAAAAAGGTTTCAGAGGAAGAAGAAGTTGTTTTTATTTAGCATCCGTCAAGGGATATATACATACAGCACAAACCTCCAATATCGCTCTTGATAGCTACTGATCTCATTTGAATACAAATACAGCTAAGGATAAAGCCTAACTAACAAATATTAGCTAGATATCTATTTACCAATTCAAACTGATATGCATTATCTAGATATCTATTTACCAATTCAAACGTATATATATTATCTCTAATACGAGTCCTTAAGAAATTAAATGACAGATGTTACCCGTCCTTAAGAAAAGAAGATAGAACTTGCATAGGAAGTCCTCAGACCCAAGCCCACACACTCTTTCGGCCAACAGTGCCCCTATTACTGCTGTGCTGCCTTTCCTCCGGTTTGTAGAGTTGGGTTTTCCATTTACCCACACTGGGGTCCGTACTCTTCACTGATCGAGCACTCTTGCATCGAAGATGAGCTAACCGATTTGTCGAAACTGTGGGATGCAAAAATATATCGGCAGGGGAGTAAGAGCAGCTTGAGCAGTTGAAGAATCAACCTCAAATCATCCATCTACTAGATTGGGAAGAGGTAGATAGAGGGACTGCTTTAAGCACATGCAAACCAACTCACTCAATTCACTCATCGAGGAGTGCCTCAGCCAAGAAAAGTAATTTTATGGCCCCTGAAGAAGCGCAGAGCTTCCCCCGTGGAGGCCAATTGTGTATTTTGTCCACCCCAGCATTCGGTGCTTGGAGGGGGGGTCTCCTCAGGATTCGAACCCTGGTCCTTGTGCATAAGGGTTTTGGGGTTGAAGTTCTGGTACCACTTGGGCTACACAATTGGCCTCCACGGGGGAAGCTCTGCGCTTCTTCAGCCCCCATTCTAAAATTCATCAGAATCCAGAATCAAGTCTAATCCGATCACAAGGTAGAACAAAAAAGATTCACAAAATTAATCGTTCTGATAACTTAAACCAACATGCATGCTGGAAAAACACCAAAAGAGGAGGAAGAAGAAATTGAAACTTCATCCACGCTGACAAAATTTGAAACTTCATCCGTCAAAATTATGGACATGCAATTGAAGAATCGCGACCAAAATCTTAGATGAGAGGAAAAAACTGAAAATTGAAGCTGCATTTCAACCAATTAAAGTTAAGGATAGCATTACCAAACGGTAGTTGATCAGGGCTTGTTCCAAAAACATCAGCAGTGGGAATATAGTCAGGCAAATCATCGCGACCACGTACCCAGAATTTTGTTCATCAGATAAAACATCAATTCTTCATCAGTGGGATCAAATTTACATCCAACAGGGACTTCAATACGGGTTCTTTTTCCTCCACTATCGTCATTTCCACGGGCTGAAGCTGCTGATGGTTTCTCCATTTCTGTGGCCCAGAAAATACTGAAAATGAATGGTCGCTGGGTTTTTCAGTTACAGAGGAAATTGGTTGTGGTTATCTGTTTGTACACGACTTGAGAATTGAGAAAACACGTTTTTGTACTATCCCATGAAGAAAACGCCAAGCATACTTTAAAGTTGAGTGGCTTTGTGAGATAAGTTCTTTATGTTTTGCACTTATATACGTTGAACTGAATCTTCACTTTGTTACGTTTACCTTCTTGGTGAGAATCTCAAATAAGTTCAGACTCACAGTTCGCATAATTTTGTACCTTGCTTTGCTTTGTACACTTTTTTTTTTTAAGGTGACAAATTTTTGATTATTTTGTATGTTACTTTTGTATCACTATCCATGATAAAGGGAGGGGGGGAGGGATATTGTATCATCATCTAGAATTGAACCTAATGCTTGACTCGACCAGGGCTTGGTCAAATTCAAGTGAATTTCTGTCTTATTCTAAACTCAAGTTTATTTCTCTCGTTACTCAAGAAACGTCCTTTGTTAGCATCCTTTGTTAGCTGTACTTGAAGAAAATCTTTTGATTAGTAAGGTTTTTTTTTTCCTTGTATGAATCATCGATATTTGCAGCAAATAAAACCCCAAGTACCATTAGCTAGCATGAAACTTAGTTGAGACAATTTTTCAACTAATGTTAATGAAGGCGGGATCCTGTCAAATGATTGTGCAATTTAACCTTGGTATGTGCAGGAGTCATGATGAAATTAATTGGAGGATTAGCTGACTTCAAGTTTTAATTTAAGGTTTCCTCTAGGTCACGTATTCCCTTTTTTTTTTTTTTTTTTTTTTTTTACAGAAACGTTAGGAAATATATTGATTTCAAAACAAGCTATACAAACTTGAGCAACGGCCCATAAGGAGCTCTACAATTGTGTCATTTGACACAGAGGACTTAGATATTCCTCATCTTGCGCTAATCTAGTAGCATACTTACTAATTCTTCTCCCTAGTCTATTACACTGGTTGGCAACTAAGCTAAATGAGCAGCTCATAAACAAAGCTTTGAACATGTGAATGTCTTCCAATTGAGCAAAGAGTCTTATGTCTGTGGTCTTGTTATTTCTCAGCATTCGTACCATATGTGCGGATGAAACAAGCAGATGCACAGCAGGCCAATGCTTCTCGGTGATTTTACACAACACTAATTTGAGTGCAGCAGCATAGTCCAATAAAGTGTCCCCTGTACTTTTGTCCTTCATGGCCCATGCAGCATGCACCTTGTCCTTGGTTGCCACTATGCCAATGCCCATAGTTTTCGTTTCCTTCTGCTGGCTCACCTCCACAATAATTGTCATTGTGTTGCTGTTTGTTGTGTCACCTGGTGCCTCTTCATTGCTAGCTGATGTTTCCTGTCTGCTCGCCAGCTTACCTGTACCTTGCACTTCAGTGTATTCTATCCATTCTAGATGAGCTTTCTGTACAATGTCAAAAGGATTCCTACTCTTATTGTTGAAGATCTTCTCATTCCTGGCTTTCCACAGTTGCCAAAGAATGTTCACAGTAAGTGTTTGGTGCTGCTGTCCTTCCTTCCTACTTGATGCTTCCATCAACTCACTCCACCATGTGTTAAAATTGCCTCTTCTATCCTCAATGCCATCCCACTGCACTGGTGCCAATCTCCATACCTCCTTTGCGATAGTGCAGAAGAACATCAAGTGCTCTATTGTTTCCTCCCCTTCGCCACACACTTGACATATTGGTTCCCCCATTCGAGTTCTGTAGTAAATGAGCTCGTTCACTAGTAGAGCTTTGTTCAGACATTTCCAAAGAAAATGCTTTAGTTTGCCCTTAATGTCCATTCCTCACATCTTCCTCCATACCTTCTCCTTCTGCACATGACAGCTGGTTTCCCCTTTCCCACTACTCTCTTGTTGTTGAGCTTTCTCCTCCCTCTCCAGCATCTTGTAGGCTGACTTCACAGTGTATTTTCCATTATTGCTTGCTATCCAGTAGCTGCAATCTGTCCTGCCTGCTAAACTTATTAGAATTTTGAGGATTTCTTCAACATCTTTCCCATTGAATGTACTGAAAATCAAAGGTCTATTCCACCTGAAATTTGTGATCAGCTCTTTCACTTTGTGTAAATTGCAGCTTTGTGGTTTTGGGGTCGTAGGTTTCCCTTCTGTGGTATTTGGGATCCACCGATCTTCCCAGATGTTTGTGCTATTACCGTCCCCTATTTTCCTCCAGATTCCCCTTCCCACTTCATCTCTAACACTTGCCAGGCTTTTCCAAACCCATGAGGCAATTGGATTCACCTGACACTTGAATATTGTGCTATCCGGATAGTACCTGGCTTTCATAACCTTACTTAGCAAAAGATTTGGGCATGTTATCAACCTCCAAATTTGCTTTCCAAGAAGAGCTTTATTAAAATCCTGCAGGTCCTTAAATCCTATTCCCCCTTTGTCTTTGTGCTTTGTAAGTTTAGACTAGGAGCACCAATGCAGCTTCTTTTTTCCTTCTTCTTCTCCCCACCAGTACCTAGCCATCATTGCACTCACATCTTTACAGAGTTTGCCTGGAAGTTTGAAGCAGGACATGGCGTATGTAGGTAGAGCCATTGCGATGGCTTTCAGTAGTACTTCTTTCCCTGCATTGCTTAGCATCTTGTTTTTCCAACTTTCCATCCTTCGTTGACAATTATTCCTGATAAAGCCAAACAGTTGCTCCTTGGTTCTTGTAATGACCATGGGTAATCCAAGATATTTGCCTTGGCTTACCATTTGAACATTTCCTAGCTTGCTGCACACAGAAACCTTGTCCCCCTCAGGCGTGTTCTTGTTGAAGAAAACAGATGATTTATCATAGTTGACCATCTAACCAGAGGCTTTCTCATAATTGGCTAGAATGTTCATGAGCTCCTTAGCTTGACCTGCGGTAGCTTTGCAGAAAACTAAAGTATCATCAGCAAAGAACAAATGTGAAACTGATGGGCCTCGTCTACTGATACTAATACCTGATATCAGTTTGCTCTCCTCAGCTCTTCTCAACAAATTTGACAGGCCCTCTGAACAGATTAAGAACAAATAGGGGGATAGAGGATCCCCCTACCTTATACCTCTCTTGGGGTTGACATAACCTCTCTGATCACCATTGATCTTAAAAGAGTATGAGACAGTTGACAAACACTTCCATACCCAGTTGATCCATCTCTCTGAGAATCCCATTTTCTGCATGACTGCACATAAGAATTTCCACTCAACCCTATCATAGGCTTTTGCCATGTCCAGTTTTAATGCCATACACCCTACTGAACCTGTTCTTTTATTTCTCAGGCAGTGGAGATATTCATGGGACACAATGACATTATCTAAAATTTGTCTCCCTGGGACAAAAGCTGCCTGGTTCTTACTAATACAACAGTCCAGATTATATTTAAGTCTATTGGCAAGCACTTTGGAGATAATTTTATAAAGAACATTGCATAGACTTATGGGTCGGTAGTCTTTAAGATTGAAAGGCATATCCACTTTGGGAATCAGGGAGACAACCGTGTGATTAAGGGACTTAAGCATGAAACCTGAATGGAAGAAGCTCTGAATGGCTGGAACAATGTCAGATCTAATTACACTCCAAAATTTTTGGAAAAAAAGAGGTGTCATCCCATCAGGCCCAGGGGCTTTGTTGGGATGCATGGAAAAGAGTGCAGACTTGATCTCGGCCTCAGTAACAATTCTAGTCAGATTAACATTCATTTGATCAGAAATAGTGGTTGGTATACCCCTCAAAACATCCTCAATGCCTTCAGTGCCTTGACTATCAAAAAGATACTGGTAATAACGAGCCACTTCCTCTCCTAATTCCTTCTCATTAGAGGTCCAAGAACCATCCTCTCTCTGTACATTAGAAATCCTATTTCTTTTCACTCCACCTTTGGCATTAGCATGAAAGAACTGTGAATTTTTGTCCCCCTCTTTCAACCAAGTCACTCTAGACTTTTGGGACCAGTACACCTCCTCTTTGGCATAAGCTCTCTTGAGTTGAGTCTTAAGGTCATTCATAGTTCTTCTATTAAACTCAGGTGCTTCTTTAAGCCTCTCCATAGCTGCCTTTATGTTGTTGATCTCTTTCCTAGAATTATGCCGAAAGCTATTCTTCCATTTGAGAAGAGCCACTCTACAATTAGAAATCTTTCTAGTGACTTTATACATTCTTGATCCTTCCACTTCTAGTTTCCAAGCTTCCTCAATCACTTGAGTGATTCCTTCTTGCTGTATCCATCTTTTATCGAAAATGAATTTTTTCCTTTGCTTTTGCTCCTCAGGTGCCGTATCAATCACAAGCATGCTATGATCTGAACTGTAAGTGTCAACATGTTTGCACCTTGTTTTGTCAAAAATCTGAAACCAGGTAGGAGTGCACAGCATTCTATCTAACCTTTGCTTAATTTCTCCTTCATTTTCCCAGTTGTTACACCAGGTCCAGGGATTGCCATCAAAACCCGTATCTACCAGTTCATTATCCTCAATGAACTGCTTAAAATCTCTAAAAGACAACTCCTCTCTAACTCTTCCTCCCCATTTCTCTTCATTGGACACTATATCATTAAAATCTCCTGCAACTATCCATCTTTGTCCCCATAATCTCTTCCTGTCATTCACCACTTGCCATTGATTCTTTCTAGTTGCCGCCTCACAGCTTGCATAGATGCCAATGAGCCACCAGTCAGTGTGGTGAGTATGATCCACTATACGAGCCTCAATGGAGAAAGATGTCTTATGTATTTCAATGATGTTCACTTCCCGTTTCCAAAAGAGAGCCATACCCCCTGACCTATTCATCGATTCTACAATCACACTATGATCAAAATGCAGCCTATTCCTAACAGTCTCCATATACTTTTCCTTATTTTTAGTTTCACACAAGAAAACAACACTTGGGGAGAGAAGGTTGCAAGCCTCCCTCAACTGGGGAATTGTCAAGCGGCTCCCTGCACCTTGGCAATTCCACACCAGCACTCTCATTGTTCACTTGGGGACCCATATAGGCTGGTCCCCCTCCTACCTTCAGCAATGTCTAACCGTATCTCCAAAGCCTGATCTATCTTACTCCTTTTGGAGTTCAAACCATCCACTTCAGCTGGAGTAGTCTTGTACCTGCTAGGGGGTTTTAGTTGTCTTATAATCCTTTTATTCATCTTCTGAACAGCCACCAGTTTCCTCTCCTGTGGCTCATTTTCTACTTGCATCATTTCATCCATTCCGGTGTCCCCCTCTGCCTCAGTCAAAACATTCATTTCCTCACTTCCATTCTCTCTCTCATTGCTCCATTGTTCACCTGATTCCCTATCCTGTGCTACAGGAATGCTATTTGTATCCTTCTCTAGTACTCCAACAGGTGCTAAAATTTCCTTATTACTACTCGGCCCCTCTAACAGATCACCCTTACTCAGTATACTTGGAGTGACTTGTACCTCCTTTTCCTGCCTTTCTACTACCTTGGATGGCACCTCTATTCTCATGCCCCTTGGTTCATTACCTCCTCTCATATCTGTTACCTTCCCCTGATGGCCCTCACTTCCTCCTTTGCGCACCAGCTCCCCATCCTTAAAACCCCAAATCACCCTATCTTGCCTTTCTCTATTTATGGTCTGTTCAGCCTGTGGCAATTCTCTACTCCAGTTACCTCTTAGCCAGGGTCTATATTGGTTATCTACTAGTCCTCTCCCTATGTTACTAGAAGTTTTACAACTCCTCTCACTATGTCCAACTATACCACATCCATAACAGAAGTCCGGACACCGTTCATACTTGAAGCTGATTGATAGGGATATAATTATGCATTTTATTTGTGGTTATTTGGTCTTAATTTTGGCAATTTATTATGCAAAGTATTGGATTTCTGCTCATAATTGGTATTTGTGTTAATTACAGGCAATTGGTGATAAAAGTGATAAAAAAGGGCAAATTCCAGAAGACTAGGTCTTCCCTGGCGTGCCCACGCCAGACAACACAGAGTTGCGTGAAAAAGCCGGATCGCGGGCCCAAGCCCTGGAACAACCATTCTGATTGGAAGATACCTTTTTACCATACGTGGGATCAGGAAGCTTTTCCAAAGAGGATTTTTGGCAACAATCCAATGAGGGAAATAAGGAAACAATCCTTGTGGGAAACAAATTCCAATTCAACAAGCAAAGGGAAGCGGCAGCAACACTATAAATAAAAAGGCAGCAATAGACTAGGGCATCTTCTGTCTTGGACTTGTCTCTTTGTTTTTCTTTTCTCTCTTTTTCCTCTGGAACGCAAGTAGCAAATAGGAGCCGACATCTTTTACTACTTCCTCAATCGACAAAAGCTCGATGAAAACTCTGAATTGCTTCATGATTATGCGGCAAGGCTAGTTCTTTTATCTAGTTGAGGAATAAATCAAGGATTGGAGCACCATAACTGTGAGATCGTTTTAATTGTTTTATTTCTAATTTATATGTTCATGGGTATTTAATTATTCTCTATTTTTCCCTGAGTTATTATTGTTTAGATTTATTGGATAATTAGGCCTGTTATTCAATTGTCTAAATAATTGATAGCCAATTAGGATGTTGGCGCGTCGCCTTTAAGCATCTTGATTAGTGGTAACCGAGACAATTTCACCGCCTCGCAAGCGGTTTAATTTGGATCGTGGGGATAATTAATCTAGCCTAAATAAACCCGCATGTGTGTTTGTCATCTAGAATTGGGTCTTTCTAATTCCTAATGCTGTGGCTACA